CGCCACCCAGCCTCCTGCAGCAATGCCTCGCCCGTGAGTCGCGAGCCGACTCTGCTCCTCTTCGGAGTGTTGGCATCCTTCGTTAGGACTGCACCGCTGTCCTGGGTGAAAATGGCTGTCTAGACTAGAATCTGCCAGAAGGGACCAAGCAGTGGATAGCGAGCCTGTGAAGCCTAACTCACAGCTGCGAGACCTGGAGGAGGAGCTCGGCTCGAAAAGTGCAGACATGAATTCTGGAGTTGCCTTGAAATACGGAAACGACTCCTCCGCCGAGCTGAGCGAGGTAAGAAACAGCTGAGGTCGAGAGCTCTGGTTTCCTAGGCAGTGAGTGGCTTTTTGACTCCCCACCCCCTTTTCTTAATCTCCCCCAGCCCGGTACCGCACCCGCCTCGCACTGCCTGTCTGGAGGCAGCGCAATTAAAGATTAATAGATTTTCTGGATCTTGTTTTAACTTGTAGTGTTACTCAGGAAATGACCTGAACTGGCTTGATGTTTCAGTCTGAAACGAGTGGCTTAAAAAAGAAACAAGCTCTCACCACCCGCCAAGGCGTTTTTACTCTCCGCGGTCTGGGTCCCCTGTCCCTTCCCACCCGTTTCCCCCCGTTTATGTACAACACTGCTTTTCGTATTCACAAAATACACGAGGATCCCAGCTGAGCTTAAGCCTCCGGTAACTAATTTGGAGGGGCCGGGGAACTCATTGGATTATTAAATCTGCCACTTGGCTCCCACCTGTGATGCGTTTGGATAAATTCGGGCAAGGTGGTCTCTCCGCGGCGGAGATGAATGACCGCGCTGGGGAGGGGCGTGGGGAGGAAGCACATCAAAGCCGCTTAGAACTTTATTTCCTGCCCGGGACTGGACTCCTGAGTCTTTGAGGCAAGAGCATTTGCAATTCCTGGCTCTTACAGTAACATAGTCACTTGAGTGTTTGAGACCTTGCTTTGAAATTAAAGGCTACATCAAACGGCATGCAAATATGTGAACGGTGAGGATGCCCAAAGCCACCTTTTTGATGACTTTAGGGATGCCTGGGGCACATCCCACCCCCCCCCCCCTCCCCAAGGCTTTGAATACCTGAAAAGTAGGGACGGGAAACCTCCAGAACTGGGAGCTCAGAAGAAAGTCTGAGACGGTGTCTACAGCAGGAGGCTTGATGGCTGTAGGATTTCCTCCGACCTAGCACCATCCCTGAGCCATTTCTGGGAGCAAAAGTAGAATAAATAGTCTGTGCTTCTTCAGTATAGCTGAAGAAAGGAAGGGGGGGGGGGTGGCGAGGCGGGGTGAAGGCCGGTGTAAAAACAGCCGGAAGGCAGATAGAAGTGATGTCAGATTACTTACCGTGAAGGGAAAATGAAAGGCTGGAGTCCTCACTTGGGGAGAGGGCTGGTGATGGGGAAGGAAGGGGGTGTACAGGGGAAACTCCATTAGGTCTGGGGCTGGTATCCAGCACCCCAGCCTGGTGCTCTAAGTGTCTTACTGCTGTGCTGTGCCTGCTGGGGTTTGGAATAGCATTTTGAGGTGTTGGTCCAATGAGTAGAGGCATTGCCTAACCCCTGTGCTTTCCCTTGTGATGAAGAAGACAGGAGATGCAAAGGGTAGAGCTTCATTTAAAACTGGGAGGCAGAGGGAAAGCCTGCAGACCTAAGTGACTTTTGCCAATTTTAAATGCAGGGGGAGGTTTCAGATCTAAGAAGAACCCAGGTCCTGCTCCATTACTGACACTATTTAAGGAGAAGCCTTTGTCTTATCTACTAAGGTCATTTAAAAACTAAAAAACTGAAGGCTTGAAGAGAGTCTTGGCTAGGCCTTTCACATTGTTTATTTCTACCTGGCAGCTTTCACACTTTCACCTGAAAGGTGCTGTTCAATTACCTCTGTTTCAAAATGAATTGTGGAGAGAGAGGAGGCCTGGGTTGACTTTAACAGTATTGGCAGGATCAGGGAGGACATTAGATGTAAAACCCAGGTGGGAGGTAACACTCTCCATCCTGTGTCTCGTGCGCCTCATTTTTCCACTCCTTAGAAAACCTGTGGCCAAATGCAAGCCGTGAGGGTGCTCTGTGACCTCTGCATTAGTTGGAGCAATATTTCAGCATTACAAGACATAGTTTTGTCCCTCAGGCAATAAACAAGTTTCTGTCCCAGCCATATCCTTTACCAAATTTTCTTTCCTTTTTCTCAGTGTCTGCTAATTCATTGCTTGCTTTCTTTAGAGCCTTCTTTTTAGGCTCAGTGACCTAGTGCTCCTCCATCCCCCAATCCTAGTTTCCCTGCAGATTAAGTAGTTGCAACAAATTGTGAAGATAGTTTTGTGTTTTGTTTTGTTTTTTAGCTTTTGTACATATTTTAAATTATGGTATGTGTAAAGAGAGTTTGAAAGGTAAGGGTGTGAGGTTCATACCTTATGGACCCTAAATCCCATGGGCAATAGTCCCATGTTCTGTAATATCTATAGATCAGTAATGATATGGACCCAGGAAGATTCTAATACAATTCATTTGTATTTCTCACTTTACCCTTGTTTCACAATCACTTCTCTTTGGTGTAAAGGAGAGTTTCTTCTTTTCACCTTAATTTTTCTTTTAAACACTGGTTTTGCTTTAACGTCTTGGGGGGGGAGGGGGAGGCGGGGCAAAGTCCCCATCCTTTTTTGATGGTTGGTTCCTCTTCATCTGGAAGCAGAGCTAATAAAATCCCGGAGGGGCCCCTTTAATGCCATATCTCTTATTGCCCAGGAGTCTCAACACAGCCTGGAGGTCACCATGGGGTCAGATTCAGCCTGATGTTCACCAGGCATTTCAGGGGCAGGAAAAACTCAAAGGGCTCAGCATTATTCTGGGTATTAGAAACAAGAGGCCTCTCTCGTTGGCATTGACTGGTGAGCTTATCCCTTCTGCAAGGGTCCTCTAGCCATAGGAGTCACTGACTTCATAACGTCCTGAACAAGGGAAGTGACTTGAATCCATTTCTAGTTGTAATCTGCTGGACCTTCACGAGAGCAGCAAGCTTTGGTCAACAATTCAGGTGTTGACCTCTGCCTGCCCTGCTCCAGGAAAGCTTCCTTACCAGAGAGGCAGGAGAGATTGGTGTGAGGGATACTGGAGGAGACTGAGAGGGCTGGGTGTCGGGCATGAGGTATTTTGCATGTGTGAGAACTTTAAGATGCTGGAAAACAGGAAATTCATGAATGTGTTCCTGTTGTGTCTTTAGTTTGAACAATAGCTGTTTAAGATCCTATGAGGTGATTATAGGAGAGAGTAAAATGCCCTCTACCTATGGTCAATTCAAAGCATTTTTATTTATCCATGACCACAAATGGCTTATGTCAAGTCTGAACACTTGAACCAAAACAAACTAGTCATTAGCATTAACAAAGGTAATTCAAAAGGAAAATTTGAGAAGCATGAGTTGGCGATTCTTTTTTTTTTCCCCTTAGCTATTAGCTGTCCCTATCAAAGACTCAAAGGATGTTTTTCTTTTTCTAATAGGAGGTTAAGGAAGGACTTTAATATCAGCCAAATCGAAAGTACTTAGAAAATTAAGTGGTTGGCTTTCAGTCTTCCTCCAAGATCAAGAAGCTGACTGGACACACTGCCAGCAGCATTAGATTAAATTCTCCCAAACCTTGTCAAGGAAGGCTCTTAAATCTTCTTCCTCAACCCCGTGGGTTTTCAGTTGGCAGTTAATTCTGTTTAACTTGGTAAAACCTGTGGGACCAGTTTCACAATCACATCTCTTGGTCCTTAGAGTAATTCAGACTTTGGGAAGAAGTCTTGTGCAGCATTATCAGAGTACGACTTGAATTTACTCATCTTTACAGAATACCTGTTCACCCAATCTGCTTGTCTAATAGGCAGCTATCTATTTATGTAGCAAAATAAAGTTATCTTTAAGAGTTTGTTCTTCTAAGTCAAGAAAGATTTTCAAGGTTTTCACGGATTTGGCTGAAAAGCAAGATCTCAACAGAAAAGCTCCTATGATATTGCTGCATGAAATATGAATTTAATGTTGAAATGCAAATCATTGTTATTGTTCTGATATTTTGGATTTATTTTGTAAGCGTTCTTATATTGTTCTTAGTTATCTTGAAAATCACAATGAGCAAAACATTCTTTAAATTCCTGAGGGGGAAAAAAAGAGTTTGTTCTTTCCTGGCAATCATGAAAACCACTGGGAATGAAAAAAAATTATTTCCTAACGCAAAAAATACTTTGTTCGAAGCAATTAACCTATATTTTGTCTTTTAAATATTAAACAATGAACAGGTAAAATTCTCCCATCACGATTTATTTTGAAACCTTAGTTGCCCTGGAAATTGTATTTCCCTAACTCTCTCCTCATCACATTATTCAAAGCCTCTTTCATAAGATTATTCCACTCCTGAATATAGGCTATAGAGGCAACTCCCTGCTTTCACCATTTACTTGTTGGGTAGCTACTGAAACCTCACATCTTCACTGATACTCTAATTAAGAAGTAGATTATATGGGAGAAAATTGCTCTCTAAATAGATTATCTCGTATATATATCTCTAAGTGGCCATCTCACAGATGTACTTACTCTTTTTAGTCAAGTTACACGGTATCAGAGTCGGAAGGGCCTATGAGATCACCTAGTATGCCCACTCCCCGTTATACTTCTTCACCTCCTCTGTTTCTATAGAATCCCACTTCATTGTAGTGAGGTGTTTAATGTCCGTCTTAGCCACAGATGATAAGCACCAGAAGGGCAGTGTCAAGACCTGTCAGAGTCTGGCACATAGTAGGTGTTCTAGGAATGTTTGATGAATGAACGCCTTGCCTCTTCTCTCTCTTTCCCTTTTTTATAAATGTAGAATTTGAAAAATTGATTTAAGAGGCTCTTTGGCTGTGTAATAAACTGCCCTCAAATTTAGAGACTTCAAATGACAATCTTATTTGCTCCTGATTTTGCAATTTGGGCAGAGTTCAAGGGGAAAGACCTGTGACTGCAACTGGAAGATCCCCTTCCAAACGGGCTTAATCACACAGCTGGCAAATCAGTGCTGGCTGTAGACTGGAGATCACCTCAGTTCTCTTGGAAGTGGGCCTGCCCGTGTGGCTGCTTGGATTTCTTCTCCCTGTGGTGGCTGGGTTCCAAGAAGTAGGAGGTGGAAGCTGAAGGTTCTTTTAAAATGTAGGACTGAAACGGGCACCAGGTCACTTCTATGTGCTCTACTGGTCAGAACAGCTATGTGCTTAGCCCAAAGGCAAAGGGTGAATAAATAGATCTCACCTGTCCAAGGGGGAGGTGACAAAGAA